TAAAGGTGCAAGTATTACTGTAAGCTTTAATAAAAATGCAAAACAGGGAAACACTGGCGCAAAATAGTGGAATGGATCGTTTCAATCGGCGAAACTGGAAAATACGGACCGGATTTTTTTTTTAAAACTGGATCGGCAGTCTGGATCGGCATTTTACATGCTTTGCCGATATGCATTTTTTTGCCAATATCGGCGTCCCGATCCGATACGTGGATCGGATCGGGACAAGCCTAGTAATTAGTCAGAAAATGCAGCTATGACTTTAATGATAAGAATTTCTGTCAATTTTGCTGGGTCACCCTTCGAAAAATAAATGTCCAATACTATTTTATTTATCATTTTAACACATTTAATGTCAAATTAAATTAATTAAGTCATCTTGGAGAAATAAAATGAAAATGCAGCTCAAAATATACATTTGTAATGATTTGTAAGTCAGAAAATGCAGCTTTATTTTGCAGACAAATTTGCTTTCAAAGATCAAGAATCACGTAACTTACTTGGGTCTGATTTGGAGAAAGTATCCATGTCCAGCAGGTTTCTGTAGGGGCAAAAATGGAAAAACAACTGAAAAACATGCATCCTTGGGTTGCATTGAAACATCAAACTCTGTGTTCACTAAATCGTTATTTGTATTTAAATGCAAAATAAGGGCACTTAAAGTCTATAAATGCCATAACATATTTTATAATTCATTAAGTAAGGCTCAATTAAGCCCAGTTCGACATCAACACAATGCATAAAAATGTTTGTTCTTCTAGAAACAACACAGAGCTGCTGAGCGTCCATTACCATGACATAAAGCAGCAGAATTATTCATTTTAATTTTGTTAAAATGAGTAATTCTGCTAATAATATAGGCTTTCGTTGATTTTAGGGAACAATTTTAAAAGGCAATCAACAGTATTTTACTACATTTATCCATGTTGTCCATCACTCAACGCAGAAAAAGTTGTGAAAGGTCTATATGTATCTGGGGCCATACAAAAAGTAAATGAAGTTAATAGGACATATTCCAGTCTGAAAAAAAATATGTGACTGTAAGAGCTCAAAATAACTGTATATATTAAATAAAAGACAGATGCCCATAAGGGGTAAACTTTCCTGCGGTTCAAGAGATTTTTAACATAACTTAAATTCATAATTGAAAAAGACTAAAGAGATCTGTCTAACAGATCGGGCTTTAGATGCAAAAATAACCTCATCCAACCTATACTGTAATGAAGCAGCAAAAGTGACATAGCTAATGTCTGCATGTCACACGTAAACGAGCCGCTGATTTGTGCTGTGTGACCTATTGCGTTTGTTCTGAGCCATTAATTATCTCTGTACATCTGCTTCTATCTGCATCCCGCTCCGAGCTGACCACTGCTGGCAGTGGAAATTAGTTTAGCGAGAGAAGTCTATATGTGGCACAGGTGCAGTAGAGCGTCCAATCATAAAGGAAAATGGCAGATCTCATGGTTCACAGGCTTTAAGCTTGTACCTCCTCCCACATCATCAAGCCAGCCAAAGCATAACCACCAAACTTTCTATTAAATAGAGAAGTTGTTTTGCAGTACATGGAAATTCTTGATCTTACAGACAGTCAACCCGACATTTGTCACAGTGAAACAGAAACTTGTCACACTCTTGTTCTCTAAAAAATAGTTGTGTTTTTCCTTTTATATAGATCATCAAGCCAAGTTACTTTCATATGAAGACAACCTAACTGATATAAAATAAGGTATTCAATAGATGGCTATATTCATAAAAGTAAATGAGGATATCCAAACCAATCACTCTAAGCCTAATCAATGTTTTTGCTATCTTTGGCAACAACAGCAGCTGTCATCAAGCCCTTTGAATGGTTAGTAATGAATACAATAGTAAGCAATATATCACACTGGGTTTGGTCCACAGTAAGGTTTCAAGTCATCCTCCCTGAAGGGATTTGTTACCTCAATTCGGTTAAAGCCCATGCTTTGACTAGAATCTTCTTAAACCTTTATTTTTTAGCAATTAAGAAGAGGGCAACCGAAATGCTTTGTAACACAATCCAGCAACATATCAAGCAAATATGCTTGACTTAAGGTGGGCATGCACTAGGAATTTTTGCCCTTTCAGGTTGATTCTCCAGTCATGTGAGAATTTTTTGGATTGGGTCAAGTTTTAGCCTCATTGTGCATAGTGGGTCGCATAGTATACAGTGGGTAATGAGGGGCAATTAGCCTCTCGCGAAAACCTCCCAATCAGGAATCGTAAGGTCAAGAGAAATCAGTCATGGGCAAATCCTGCTGTGAGGCAAAGCTACAAGCATCTACAAGCTGATTTACCACAACATGTACAAACAAAGGAATTCTTCTTCCAGACTGAGGAGTACGACAATCGCCATCTCTCAAAACTGAGTCTGACGTGTGCTTTTTGGACATACAGTGTGAGCTTCAGATCCTATCAGAGCCTCGGGTCGTACAGTGTAAGAACATACATCGTGCGCTGTGAACTTTTAAACCCTATAGTTTGAGCTGTAGCTGCGTGTAAAGATTGAAAATATCCTACAGTGCATGCCGGCCTTTAGTGACACACACTAATTTGCAGACAGTCTTCAGAATCTTAGTTGAGAGCATTACTCATAGATGCCTTACACCAGCAAATTTCCACCACTATGTTTGGTGTTTGTATTTTCTTTATCTAAAACACGTCTAATGTAATGGGAGAAACAGTTTGTCTTTTACTGGTCGACCTTGTTGCTTCCCATCTGAATGACTGTCCTCTTTGTTCTCACTGCCATCTATTTGGTTCAGTCAGCAACTTTTGTAAAGTCATTTCTCACAGGGAGACAAACATTTTTCCTATTTAAGAAAGGGTGCGTAAATCCATTTTAATGTGAAGGTATCCTTTATACGTGCACAGCTTTAAAGAGCTATACTATGTTCATTATCAGGGCTTAAAGGAATGATTATTTCCTCAACAAGACTGCAGTTTAACACAGGTCAGTCCCTTATGATGAACATTATTTGAATTCAAAGCACTGGCTCAGCAAATTATGTTTGGATTCAGCTATCAAAACAGAATCTTAATCAGATTTTTTTTTTATGTCAATGGTAAAGACAGAAAACTAATAAAAACCTAATCTAAAGATTTATATGTGGGACTAAAGAAACCAGCAGCCCCTTTAAGAACCGTACAGCAACAAGTCAGAAGAAATAGAAATAAGGATTCCCTTTTTATGGCATGATGATGTTAAATAACAACTTTATATTTCCGCTTTTTGAGGAAATGTTGAGTAGAAATGCTAGTTTCCTAATTAATGTCCCCATTTTTTTTTTTACTTTATACATCTCAACAAATGCCGTTTTTGGAACATTCAAAATATTAATTCAAGGTAGAAAAACTGAAAAACTACCAAAAAAAATTTAATTCTTTGGTCACTGCATTATACATTTAAAAACCATCCATCATTTTGATAACCAATGAGAAAGTCAAGCTAATATGTTTGTTTTTCTGCTCTCAAACTAGAGGTTTAAACACACTCCTACAACCGGTGTCAAAATATAGAAGTTAGCAGGCTTTTTTCTTGAAGTTTTACAGTTTTATTCATCCGTAAAGATTGTTATTTTTTGGTGTTGTTTTACATGCTCAACATGTAATCATTAGTAGAAATGTTATTGAAAAGAAAGAGAAAAAAACAGGCAGGTTTGGTTATTTCAAAGACTGAATAACATTTTAGAGTCAGAAAGATTCCAAATCTTAAGTTTGCTAATGCTTGATTTACACAGTATCCAATATTTAGTTTTTTTATGTTTAAAATACAGAAATGAAGCTCCTCCATTTACACTAGCATTAGATGCTTCCAACTGACAGGTAAATAATCTGGACGTTGGAGTGTCACCACCCATGTAATAAAGTGAGAGTATTTGTTTAGAGACTGGGACTAATGACCCTGTCAGAATTTCCCTGTCTTCTTCTTTTAAGGGGTTATCTGACGTTTCAAAGTGTATGACTGCCCAAAGCACATCACACATGGTGGTACTCCAAATTGGCTCTTGGGCTTCCATTGCGCGTGTGTGTCGTGTGCATGCCTGTGTGCATATTTCTGTATGTGCCAGTGCAACACGTTTTCAGGATTTCCACTTCAGAGGATGATGTGAATGAGTCACGCCGCTGTCTCTCTTCCTTCTCTCTCTCTTTTTCATCCAGGGGCAGGCAGCAGAGAGTGGGAAGCTGAAAGCTGCCGCCTGAGTCACTCAGAGGTCTAGAGGAATGCTGTCAGTGCGTTTCCTTTGGAAAGACACAATTATCTCAGTGTTATACTAGGGTTTGATTTATTCCACTCAACAAACCCTTAGAATATCTGCTGGTCAGCTTTTAATAATCACACTATTTCAATAGACTTATTCCTGTTTGAGATTGCATGTATCTCTAGAGCACTAATGCTCTACAGGCTCTCATTCTTAGCAAATCTCCTACTTTTTTCTACCAAACCCATGGAAAAATAATCATCCACATTATTCTCACATAAAACTATCAATTTCAACGTTTCCTATTCTAGTTCTTCTTTATTTTTTTTATTTAATGATCAGTATCAGAGAAGTCTGGCTTACTTAAAGCCTTAAATACACTTTTTCTTTTGCTGATAAACTGTATACGTGATGACAATGTATGCAATTTTGTTGAAAACTGATTTTGGGTCTAAAATCCCCTTTCTGATGCCCACCTAAGTTTAAAAGGGTTTACTGAATCTGGATTTTGCCACTGGCTTAGCCAGGGGTGTGATGTCATTTAGGAGAACCGGCATCATCAACTGTATCCTGGGAAGCGTTGGTTTGCTAAAGGACTGACAATAAATAATTTTATCTGGTCTTAGGAAAATATATACTGACTTTCCTCACAATAAAGGTTAATTGAAAAAAACTATTTGTATTAAAATTGCATATAAACAAGACTGTATCATCTGTCTACTCTGGTTTTCTCTAGGTTTGAGTCAATCTCTTACCTGACCAACAACCTGTTAGAAAAAAACAAATGTTGTTAATGGGTCACAAAATGTATGACCCATGAAATAAAATTTGAAATGTATTCATATTTGTTTATCAAGGGTGTTTGGTTTGGATATTTATTGAAGGTTCCCACTAGAGCCACCGTATCTCTGAGCCACCTCCAATATTGGGATTACTCTACTCTGCAAGTTTGTGTCGCTGTAAGTGCTAGTATGCGACTGTCTACACTAAGCCAAGCACCTACTTTGGAGCAATTACTTAGACAACTTTTATTGTCATTTTGTTTTGTACAGCTTTTATGACGTTTCCATTACTTTCATGTGCCTATGTATGTCAGTTATTTGGGTCATGTCAACCACAAACGGGCTTAAACTGGAAGGCAACCGGACTTCACTCAGTGTTTTGAAGCACTGTTCTGGCTCACACCAGAGCAAGCTTTAGTTGGAGAGCTGATGAATTTGAGCAGCATGGAGGTCCATCTTCCTGAACACATTCCAAGTCAGATGCAAATCAAACAGCCGACCATTGTTCTTTTGGATTGTTGGAGCCTTTTATTGTGCAT